AGTCAGCTTTCTTTAGACTATGCTGGGTAACAAAAAGGCCCAAATATAAGTGGCTTACCCCAATGGTTTCTTTCTCATTCACATTACATACTGGTAGTTATAGGCTGGCTATAACTCTGCTTTCTACACCTTCTCATTCCAGGACCCAAACTGAAGGAGTACCCCCATCTGGATCATGCTGTTCTCAAGTTAGAAGGAAAAAGAGCAACAGAGCTAGAACAAACATGGGACAGCTATTAAAGATCCTGCTTGGGCATCATAGCCAGTGTACATCATAGCCGGCGTATATCACAGCCGGTGTGCATGAACATCACGGCAAGTGTGCGTCACAGCCAGTATACATCACAGCCAGTGTACATCACGGCCAGTGGACATCATGGCCAGTGTACATCAGGGCTGGTGTACATCAGGACCGGTGTATATCACGGCCAGTGTATATCACAGGCAGTGTACATCACAGCCACTCACTTTCCACTGACTAAAGCAAGTCACAAGGACAAGCCCAACGGCAGGTAGGAATAGATGTTCCTCCCACAGGATGCACTCTCAGTCCCATAGCCACAGATGACACAGAATCCTCATACACATACTGCTCACAGGCCAAATGTGGGCTAAGTGGTTTTTACATATTTTAGGGGTAGTAAAATTTTGAAAAAAAAGAGAGAGAAGATAAGGTGAAAGAGGAGCAGGAGGGAGGGGGGGAGGGGTGGTGACGGCAGAGGTGACAGAGACCGCCTGTGCCCTGCGGACACAAAATACTTATTAGCTATGCCTTTACCGAAAAAGTTTGCTGATCCCTGTTCTTACAGGGAATGAACATGTCCATCCATCTATCAGATCTTTGTTTGCTTCCTTTCTATTATGAGTTGAATGTGCACCTGTTGTTGGTAGTCTAACAACTTTGAGAGGTCAACAAACGTAAATTTGTACTGAAATATGCTTCCAATATTACTAGGATCAGCAAAAATACAGGAGATTCTTGGTCCAAGTTGAAGCCACGGTGTTACACATCTAAGACAAGGAAAATGGGTCAGGTATAATTCTGTTTGCATTCAGTGAGCTAAGATTCACGTTGTCAGTTCGGCGGGTCTTCATTCAGAAACTGATTCCCCCATAGCTCCCTTTCCTTTATTATTATTGATTTTCATTTCCTGGGAAACAAAATATGACTCTAATTAGGGAATGAGGCCACATTCCAAAGCTGCAGATTCCACTCTCCTCCCTTGACTCTTCCCTGGACTGCTTGGACCCTCTGTAACGTGACGTCTGATGGTCGCGACTGTCCTTTGCTCCTAGCCTTGGCAGAAAGGCATGCCAAAGCTACAGACTCCAGCTTTTATCTTCCATCTGCAGGGTGATTCATCGCAAGGAGAGTAACAACTAAAGAGGTGGAGATACACACCTCAGAGACAGCTGTGGGACTCAGATCTGATCTGCACTAGAGCCTGCTGGAAATAAAAGACCATTGACTTTGGCATTGGGATGAAAACCTCTGCCAAACACAAACACAGACAGCCTCTCTCTCTCTCTCTCTTACACACACACACACACCTTTCAGAGCAGAGGCTCTGTACAATTCCCCACATATGGCAAACATATTTTAGGGGAAGCACCATGACTAGAGGCCAGTGGGAGAGAAAGAAAAGGAAAATAGTGAGAAAAATCTTCAATAAGCCTAAATTGTTCCAGTCGGACTGCTGAGAAGGAATGCAAAGGATTGGAGATGAAATTATTGGTAAAAATCAGCATTAAAACATAGCTAAATTCTTTCCCTGCTTCAGATGTTACTAGAACTTACTCTGAAGTACAACAGTAGCACCTGGGGAACCAGCCTTTATGTTTAGCTGGGAGTGCTTTGCTTAACACAATGGATGGTCAGGAAAAGAGGGCATTATATAAAACAGAGATTCTGCTCTCATTTACGATTTCAAATATTCTTAATTTTACTTGTAAATAATTATGTGTGTGGGGGGGGAATGCAGGTATAACTAGTTTTAACTGGCAGTGGCTCCCAACACTTCAAGTACAATTGTTTTCTAAATTCCTATTTTCTCCGTGACATATTTAATGATCAATTAAATGCACTACAAAATTCCTAACAAAGGAACTGCCATCAGCTCCCGAGGCAAAGGCATGGTGGGGGCATGACAAGGTTCTCTCCCGTGAGTGGACCTTCCAGAAGTGCTCCCTTAGGAAGAAAAAATAGTCCTGGATTTGCCACCTACAAGCTGGATGACCTCAGGGAGCTAATTAAGAAGATGTGTTTGTTAAGCATTTTACTAAAAGTACCAGGAACCTCTCAGAGACGGATTTAAGTGTATTTTCTAATTTATTTAATCTTTTCATGCTTTAATTTACTCATCTGGGAAAGAACAGTAATACCTGATTTATAGGCTATTTTGAGGATTTAAAAGAGAGGTCATATACACGAGAAGGCTTCATAATCTTACACATTTAAAAAGGTTAGCTGTCTAATAGACATGACTTTTAACCTTTTTTTCTAGATCTAAAAATGCTATGAGAATTTCTTTTCAATCTCCATCTACTGGAGACTCCACAGGTTGATGAAAATAGTTGCTAATTATTAGTTGGGCGTGATGGCAGTATCGTGGTTATGTGAGAAACTTCCTCAGTTTACAGAGAGGCACACTGAACGACTTAGGGAATGAAATGCCATGAGGCGTGGTATCTGTTTTTAAATACTTCGCAAAACGTTAGTAAGTGATGGGAACACAGTATACCATTCTCCTTACTCTTCTATATATATTTACAATTTTCTTTATTAACTATTTTAACAAGGAATGAAAACCTAATAAAATATCCAGTCCGTCCACTGAGTTGTGATAAGGCTGGTCACCCCAGTTAAATAAGTGAATGGCCCACACCGAGCATGTCTTGAGATCAGAAAGACACCTGAGGAAGTCTCTCACACCGTCTCTGTGGGATAAATTGTGGAATGTGGGATGATGAGTATTTCCCTCAAATTTTAATGGCAAATGATCAAGATTCTCCCGAGGGACTGAAGGCAGGGACGGGAGGAGTGGAACTGTGAGATGGTTTAGGGTTGCACGCAGGCCCCTGAGGGAACAGGCAACACTGGTGACCTCCACTCTCTGGCCCAGACCCACAGCCACTTTGGGAACCAATGAACTCATTAGGTACCATAAAAAAATCAAAGAGGTGAATTTTATTGTCCCTCATTTACAAGGGAATTCTTTCAAAGTCTCCATATTGGGGAGACTCTCAATTGCTATTTTGAACAACAAAGTACTGCGTGGAAGAAAATACCTCAATTATTGCAAATATTAGATACTTATGGAGGTCGCCACCAAAAATCCTTAACAGAGGAGAAAATGTATTATGGTCATCATTCCTGGGGGTATGAGCTCAATGTGCAAGTACTGGATGTGGTTGTAAATAAGCCTTTCATTTTAAAGGTCACTTAAAAAGCAATCTGGCCAGTGGTTGCTTTGTGGAGATGAGACATTTTCATCTACAAGAAGTATGGAAATAGGTCCTGGGAATACAGTAGTATCATATAAGAAGCAAAAGAGTGCTGGTATCAAAATGGCTCGAATGGGCTGAAGTTGATGTGCTTTGGAAAATGCATTATGTGACTCAAAAAGTGGTTCTAATGATGACCAGCCTTATAATGTCGGAGATGGATGCGAACAGTTTGAATAAACATTGTCTCATGAAATAGGAGAGGCACCCTGCTTTCAGAGAGAAGGAGAGAGTTCTTCGAGGTAGGCCAACCAAGAGGAGAAGAGATGTGGGGACAACTCGTTTGAAGAAAGTAAAATATGTGGGCTAAGGGCGCATACGGTAAGGATGGTGCAAAATAAATGTCTCCAAGTATCTGAAGAGCAGTCATGTGGAAGACAGAGTTGATTTAGTTTGTATTTTTCAGAGCAGAAGTTAAGTCAGTGGATGGGAATTATAGAGAGGCAGGTTGGCTCAATATAAGCAAGTACTTTATAACAGTTAGATCTGTCCAAGATTGAATTTGGAAAGTCAAGTGTGTGGTGAGGCTTCCTGACCAACTGTAAGGAAGGAAATTGAAGTAAATTGCCTTTATGGTCATTTTTATACTTAGATTCAATTCTTTTATCAAATTATCTCCAAGCTGGCAACAAGTTTAACTTGATAACCACGTTTATTTTGTGAAGAATATTCTAAGTCCTGTGGGTGATAAAGCATACATAAAAACAATAATTGTCAGAGGTTTATGATCAAGGAAGGAGATATACACACGTATAACACAGGCCACATGTGTATACATGTTAACATGCATAACATACCATTCCTTGGCTGGGGTTTTGTCACAAGGTTAAAGCAGATATGTAATGACGGCATGATCTGATTTACATTTTCATCTTTTTTGCTGGGGAGCCTCTTAAGGACCCTGTCTCCAGCCCAGCTATCTGCCTGTCCAAGGGTAAACTGATTCATCCATAGTGAAAACATGAGTCAGAGTCAAATATTTTGGCTTAGTTCTGAAGCCTTTCTTGGATGGGACTCAAGTCACTGGACACTGCCTTCCAGCTTCCCAGCTAGTTCTCTCAAATCTTTTCAAAAGCTATTATACAACGAATGAACAATGGGACTTACCCAATAGGCCTTCCAAATGCAATACCCAATAAAGCAACATCGGAGTTACGCAAAACTGCTGTTAGCTGGATTCTATCCTTGATCCCCAGGAGATCAGGCAACAGTATGAAGCTATCAGTTTGAATGCAACCCAATATGGAAAACAATTCCAACGTCGGGGGTACTGAAGAGACCTACTATGTACAGTGGGGGGAAAGCTGAAAAGCTCGACTGCATTATAATGATACTTAATGATATGAACGCAAGGAAAACATTAAAATGAAACGATCACCTTTGATGAAATTGCCCTTGAACAATTTTTTAAAAACTGGAGCCAGGTACCCCATTCCAAATTTGCCTCAAACAATGTGAAAATGAAAGTTTTCTCGGTTCTCATGGGAGAAGCTGACCTGAGACTGCTGGAAAAGGATGCTCTTCTCCGGGTTTATGCCGCAGGCAAGGAGAGCAGCGGTCATGTCCAAGATGCTCTGTCGCAGCACGGCGGGGTCCTGGGGGACGGTGATGGAGTGCAGGTCGGCGATGCTGTAGAGCACCGGCCCCGGCTCCTTCTGCAGGCCCACCCAGCTCTCAATGGCGCCCAGGTAGTTGCCGAGGTGGGGGGTCCCCGTGGGCTGGATGCCGGAGAAGACTCGTCGCAGGGCATCTTTCTGGAAGAGGGGGAAACAAACACATTTGCTCCTGAGCAGAATCCATGAGCCCGTGTCCGTGTTGCCACAGCGCCCAGGCTAGGCCTGTTTATTCCAACCGCAACCTGACAGTCACCCGCCTCCCGCAGCTGCTCAGTGCTTATTCCGCGCAAAGCACGGCGCTGGGTGCTGGTAGGGACAGGAGATGATATTTAAAACTCGGGGGGTTTTGGCACTCAAAAACTTACGAATACCAAGACACATAAGAAAAGGTCTGCATCCCCCAGAGAATGCAATCTAATTGGAGACAGAGGATATGTTTATGAAAAGAGAAGAAACAGTACAATGTGGCCGCGTGGCCTTGATCAGTTTGGAAAGACACTAGTGGGGTACAGGGGGGAGTTCCTAGGAGGAAAAGATGACTGTGGATCTGGGGGTCAGTGAGAAAGACTTCAGACATAGAATCAAATTTCACTGGAGACTGAAGGGACCGCAAGGGTATTTCATGTGATTTCATTCATTTTGAAGTAAAGGCAACGAAGGCCATAGATTAGGGGTAAAGGCTGTTATTTACTAAATTCAGTTTTCTTTAAAAATAATTGCTGATATAGTATCAGCAGTATTATATAATTAAGTGTATATGTTAAGTGTAATTATATAATTAATATAATTAAGCGCGTAGGATCTTGGGCTAGAAATTTAGAAACCTACACTGTATTTCTAACATTACCTCTTGATAAAGTTACTTAAGTTTTTCATGCTTTTGTTACCTTTTACTTTTGATAAATCATACTTGGCTTTTTATTTCTTCAAAAGGAGTTTTTAATTATAATTTTAAATTATGTATAAATATATATATATATTTTAAATTATAAAACCACTTTTGTCATAGACAGACAACAGTGTGACAATTACCAGAGGGAAAGGGGGGTAAGGGGAGGTGAAAGAGGGTAAAGGAGGGATAAATATATGAAACAGAGGAGACCAGCATAGAAAAACAGCACTTCAGCCAGGCAGCGGGAGGATCCAGGTGCTGCGTCTTTGAAGCTTTCTTTGGCCCGGGCTCAGCATTAGCTCTTTCTTCCAGAAAATACAGGAGCTGAGGTCTGGAGAGAAAGTGCTGACTCAGCACGGAGAAAAATGGGTTTATTTCTGCTTAGAAATGAAACCAGATGCTCAGATCTGGGAATCAATATAGTAACTATTAATTCAGTATAAGAGAAGGAGGGTTTTATATGGTCCCCAAACAAGAAACAATACGTAGGCCAACAAAATGGAAGGAGACATTATTTTTTAAAAAGGGAGGGTTGTAATTTTTTTTAAAAAGGCTGTGATTTTCTTAAGGGCATAGATGATAAGCACTTAGTACACATTGTTGGGCCAGTGGAAGAGTTGAAAAGGAATTAACTTGATTTCTAAAAGTTTTCTGGAGACTTATTTGAGCCATTTCATATATTAAGAGCTGTGCATCTTTTTCCCGTGTGCCCTGTGCTACCCTTCCGTCAGGGGATGGGATGCCTTCCCGAATGTCTCTTCCCTCTTGTGGGAAACATTCCCTATCAGAAACCTTCCCTGGCACTTGCTTGGACCTCATCTCGTTCGATGGAACTAGGAATGACTGGCCTCACGTTCCAGGAAAGATGCAGCGAATAACCTGCGCAAGATGCAGGCAGATGGGTCAGGTCTGGATCTGAGCTCCCACCTAGTTCTGTCTCTTTCCTTCAGACTGGGCTGCATCCAGTTTAGAGTTCCTGGCTTCAAGGTTGGCTTGGCCTGGCCTTGAGGAACCCTCACTCCCCGCAACACCTCCCCTCCACGCACACACTTCTCAGAAGGGGAAAGTGTCCCACAGAGGTGTTAACCAAAAGGCCAAGGGCACATAGCTGGTGGTACAGCTGGGACCAGAAACCAGACCTCCCTTCCTCTCTCTCTTCTTCCCTCCCTCCTTCCCTGTCTCTCCCTCTCCCAGGGATCCCTCCCTCCCTTTCTCCCTTTTCCAGGGATCCCCCTCCCTCTCTCTCTCCCTCTCTCCCTTTCTCCCTTCTTCCCTCCCTCTCTCTCTCTCCCCAAGCAGAACAAGCTCCTCCTTCACCAGCTCTTCATTATTGCACATATCACATTGGTAACCTGGTAAATATTTTCTTATTTGCTTAGTAAATATTTTCCCACCTAGAACCCGAGCTCCTCTAGGGCAGGGCTGCCTCTTTCATCTTTACATCCCCAGTACACAGCAGTGCCAGGTACATTGTGAGCACCTAATAAATGTTAGCGGAATGAATGACAAATCTTTTCCCCCTACTTTGGCTCCAAATGTAAAGGGCTAAATAACTGTAAACAAAATGGACCAAATGTTCCAGTTATAGGCAGTTCTTAAACAAGCTATGTTCTAAAAGCTGATTTGAAAATTGGTTTTCTGAAACTCACAGACTCGATTTTTTAAATGGTGGTTAAGCTCCTGGAAGGCAGCCCATGGAAGCCTTGTGGAGCCCAGAGCATTCCTGAAGAATGGTTTTCATATCCCATTTCAGCTGCGCCTATACGCCATTCATAAAACTGTTGCTGTGGGAAGTGAACTCCAAGTTCGATTTGGGACACCAGGGACCCACCCAGGGGTAGCTCTGATTGTGAAGAGAAAGGGCTTAAGGGGGGCAATCTGGTGTGAGAACAAGGTGGCATTTGCATATGGAATAGACTTCAAAAATTAGATTGTATGATCACTAAAATATGCCAAAGCTTCCTCAAGCACCCATGAGCGTTCCTAACACTGATACTGTGAGGATGGGCCCGGAGGCAGCTGAACTGGCCGCTGTGGAAGAGCAGAAGGAAGGTGGAGGGCAGGCACCCATACCAGCAACGTCACCAGAACAGGGGACTCGTTAGAAATGCAAATCCTGGATCCTCAGCCAGATCTACTGACTCAGACATTCTAAGGGTGAGCTGAATCCAGAAGAAGAAAGGAGAAGAGTGAGGCATCCTGTGCTTTAACAAGCCCTCGGGTCACTCTGATGCATGATCCCCCGTTAGAGAGGGATCTGGGGGCACCAATATCTATTCTTCAAGTTCACTTCGACTACGTCAAATGAGGTCCAGATGAAAACACTATAAATGAAAAAGGGAAGACATCTTCTAAGCCAAGAGTTCTCAATCTTGGCTGCACAGTGATCAGCTGGGAGCTTTAAAAAATGCCGATGCCTGGGCCCCATCCGTACAGATTCTGATTTCATCAGTCTGGGATCTGGCGTGAGCATCGGGATTTTTAAAAGCTCCCCAGGTGATTCTAATGTGCAGCCAAGATGGAAAAACCACTGTTCTAAGCCAACTACTACACTACTATTCTCCAAAGCTGCCAATCTGCTAGGAAACACACACAAATGAAATAAAAAGACTGCAAAAATGTGAAAAGTAAGTTCACTTGCTTATAATTTACATTTCAAGGCAATTCCTGGGACAGTTATTTATTAACACATGGTCCGAGGCCTGTTTGGCTTCAGGCAGTTCTGATATCACCTGCAGCAGCCATGAGATTATGAAGATGTGCTTATAACCTCTATGTTGGTGAGCAAAGGCACCTGTGACAGGTAAGCATACCGCCTTCCATGGTCAGGTAGACCTACGTGGCAATGTCCAGTTCCACAGTCTTTATGGCTCAGGGATTCAGGGAGCTTATGTAGCCTGAACTTCACCAAGAAAAAAATCCTCCTAAGAAGGTTTTGACATAAGAATTGTAATGGATAGAAAACAAACTTATCTCTGCAAAAAATGTTCTTTTATGCCCACTTCCCTGCCTGGCAAACTCTCTAACTCCCTCTGATCCCTATCAGAGAGCCTGAATTTAACACTCAAGCAGCTGTAGGTGGGTCTCATATTAGCCCAGTCTATACTGCAGAGGGAGACTAGGAGAATATAAGCAAAGCATTCAAGAAATTATTTGCTTTTACCACTCTGATCCAATAAATGATGCTACCTTCCGGAAGGTATGCCTTAAAAATCTGCTTTAATTTTACATTATAATGAACTTCTAAGGGGATGGCTGGTTCTCTCCCTTGTACCACTCACAGCAAAAACAATTGGCCTGTGTGGGCCTTGTTTTCATTTAGAAGTGGTGGTCCGACCAGGGCAGGTGACAAGGACAGTGGTTCTGATCCATCTGGGCAGCAGCTTCCGTGCTAATTCCAAACACAGGTGGTGAGAGAGACAGCCAACGGAAGGGAGAAGGAATCACTGCTGACATGTGCAGCCAGGAAGATTGATGGTTTCCCTCTCCCTTTCCCCAGTGCGTCGGCCTGAGGGCAAAGACGCGGCGCTGCTGCGCTGGGGACAGTGAAACACACAGCACAGTGTCTACCTGGCTGCAGTGCTGATTAATGAGACTGAAATGACACAGAAAACAGGCAGTGCCTCAGCCAGAGAATTCACAGGCCTTTCTTTCTTTAATGATTTCCACAAAAGCAGTTCCCATAAACAGCGGGTTTGAACTGGAGTGCCCCGTGGTTCGAGCAAGGCAGGGGTATATTTGCAGGAATTCGTGGAGCAAAGGGTGAGGGTGGGAGGGGAGCTTGTAATGAAGTAAATTCACTTATGATCGGGTGGGCACAAATCGTAATGAATTAATTCCTCTCCTCTATCTGCCTGGCTGGAAAATGTCACAAAGTTCCAGGTAAGATAGTTATTTACATACCCAACTTAATGTAAAGAGGACCTGAGGATACACTTTCGTAAACATTTGCCCCTGTTAAAAGCACTCTTGTTGTTTTGAGCTGGGAGATAGTATCACCAATTTTTCATGTTTTCCTGTAACTGCATAATGTATACATTAAAACAATATTTTTTCTTTGAGAAAAAATGAAGTTTAACACCAAATATTATTTCTAGTACTTACTATCAAGTATCTATTGGACATACCCATTTGGATGTCCCACCAGCAGCTCTTCAAACTTAACAAATACTATATCAAAGCTTCAAAACTAAATCTACTGATTCACAATCTGCCAGTCAGCTCCCCCCAAACCTGCTGCTCTGTA